TCATAAAAAAAGGGTAATTTTGCCTAAAACTCATTATGAATGGATGCATCTAAGGTTTCAAGATTTTAAAACTGTGACTAAATATAATTAAGCAGTTTTCAAAATAAGTTCTCTATTAAAATTATGTGGTGAAAAAATATAGTTGTCAACATCATTTTTTCATATAATGTTGCTATTAAAATAATTAATCAATACGGGGATCTTGTACTTACATCAATTGAAGAATGTAGATATAAAGATGATTGGCCAAAATGAAAAAATGCGATTTAAGAAGAGTTAAATTCACTTTCAAAATGTGAAGTTTTTGGACTTATAATCCACATATCAAATGGTGTAAAACCAATTAGGTACACAAATGGGTTTTTGTGTGCAAATGAAATGAGAAAAATGAAATCGTTAGATATAAAGCACGGCTTATAGCATAAGAGTTTTCACAAAGACCTTGTATTGATTATGAAAAGACATATTCTCCTGTGGTGGATGCAAATCATTTTAAGATATATAATTAGTTTGGCAATTTATAAAAAACTTGAAATGTATTTAATGAATGTTGTTACGGCATATTTGTATGGTTCTTTAGATGCTAAAATTTATATAAAAATCTCTAAAAGATTTAAATTGCCAGAAACATGTAAGAATTCATGAGAAAATTATGCAATTCATTTGCATAAATCCTTATATAGATTAAAACAATCTGGAACAATGTGGTATAACGGACTTAGTAAATATTTATTGAAAGAAGGTTACAAGAATGATCGAATTTGCTAATGCGTTTTTACTTACTGTCTTATTTATAAACTCCATCTAGGATTTTTTAATTTTTCTCTAATTTTTTTTAATTTCCCTCAATTATGACTCATAATATAATTTCCTATTTAAGCACCAAATTATCATCAAATTGTGATTTTTTATTTTTATTTTTGTTTTTTTTCAAATTTTCAAAATTACGAGCCCAAAAGATATTTCTAAATTGAGGAGTTAATCATCTTAAATGAGAAATTTTGATTTTGATTTTTTTTAAAAGCCCATCCCATATTTTCTAATTTGAAGGTCAATTGGCTTTTAATTTTCATCTTTTATTTTATTACTATATATTGTAAGAGGGATATTCTTTTTTTTTTAATTTGTCACGGATTTCTCAAACTTAGTTTCTAAGAAAGAATCAAAGATGATATTAATTTTTTATTATTATTTTATTTCTTTTATTTATTTTTATTTACATTTAATATTTCTTGTGAGGCCCAGATAAAATTGGGTGTTTACTTCTCTAGTCTTCTTATTTCTTCTAGTTTTATAACAGTCATGACATTACTAGCTTATGAATAATACGTCTTTTTAAATTGTATTTAAATTGCATCTCATTCCAAATTTAAAAAATATAATATAAAAAAATAACTCAATATCACTTTCTATTTAACTTCCACACAATGGCGGGTTAAATTGTGATTAATGATTAATCCATAGTACATAATGCCAGATTAAGAAAATTAAATAAATTATTTAATTATATCAAATTACTTGACCCACTTAAATTATCATTGTTATAATATTAAATTATATATATTAATTTATAAGCTAGATAAATTAATTTATAAAAACTAATAAATATGACAGATAAAATAAACAAAGATACTATATTTATGATTAAATTCAACCTGGTTTTATATCCTTATGCTTCAAAATATAAGTATCAAATTTTGGAAGGGATTTTTTTTATAAGATACAATTTGAACTTGTCTAATCATTTAATGTATTTTTTTTTCATTTTTACCCCTAATTAATTGTATGTCTCTCACACATTTTTTTTCACTTATTCTCCCATATATCTTTTTACACTTATTCTCTCTCCCACAGTCCCACTTATCTTCTCCATAAATTAGGGTGTTTTAGAAAAATAAATTATATATTTATATATATTTATTGTTTGAAACTAATTTCAACCGATTCTTTTGAGTTATGTTATTTAATTATTTGATGTTTATATGTTGAAATTAAACAAAATCATGTGCCTGGAAAGAAAACCTTATTCCATCAAGAATGACGTGGATTTGAAATTATGAATTTGGAGAAGAGAATGCCGTGATCATAAAGGATGTAGGGGCAAGTCAAGTTGACCAGCTGGCGCTCAAATGTCAAAATTGGCAGCGACTAATGGGTTTGAACGCAGTGGACGTGTCACATCAAAAGAAATATCTAAGCGGTGGAGAGAAAAAGTGGCTCATAGTGCCCGGTTGGATGAGCGATTGGAAAAACTGCTTATTGAAAAAGTAACTTATGGATAAGTGAAGTGGGGTAAAAGCTAAATTGGATAAGCTGAATTGTGTTTGGATTGGAGTTCAGAAAAGCCCGTTTGCAAAAGTGAGATTGGCAAAAGGTTGTTTGGATTAAGATTGAGTAAAAGTAAGTTTGATGGTAAAATGACCAAAATAGATATATGACTTTATTAGATAATGTAAAATGAAAAAAAAATTATAAATTTACATAATACCATAATTTTAAATTATTTTAATTGGAAGAAGTTAATTTTAATGAAATAAATATATTTAGCTTAGAAAATTTACAGAACATATTTTTTAATATGGAAATAATTTCTAAATTTATATTTAATTCAAATAAAAATTTCCTAATATATCAAAATCTGGGCCACGTAACTTGCAACAGAACCGGTCAACTCTTGCCTTGCTCTCGATGGTGTGATGGCGGGCGGCAGTTGATTAGGCGACGACAAGACAAGTTGGACGAGAAGAGGAAAGGAGTAGATGAAAGGGCAAAAGAATGGAGCCAAGTGAGTGGAGAACAGGGGTAAAGAGTGGGAAAGGTTTTTTCTGAGAATAATTTATTGTTTTAACAGTACCTTACCGTCCATCTGTAAGCACGACGAAAAAGCCATAAGTAACTCTGAGGAGCTTAACTGAATCGGGCTTATGAATCCAGCTTTTAGCCATAAGTAGGATAGAGAATAAGCTTATCCAAACAGGCAGAATTTCTTAAATGAGCTTATAAGCTGAATAAGTTACTTTTAAGTTCTTCAAATGCTTGAACAAACAGGCCCATAATTAGTTTCTTGGTTATCTAGTTTTCAACTGCGTAAAATTAAAAAAAAAATCATGAGATTCAATTTAGTAAAAAAAATTAGTCTCTCACAGTATAATGAACCAAAATTTAAATATCTGTTTTTTTTAACGGTATCTTGAGTAAGATTATTTAGATGTATATATATATATATATATATACACACATATGTGTGTGTATATAGTTTAAAAAAGTAAAAAAAGAAATTAAAACCTCATTTTGGGAGAAGTTTATTCAGTCATGATAGCTTTTGAAGAAAAATTGAACTTTTGAGCATTCGCTTCTGTATCCACTGAGCACGACCTTGACTATCTCATTCAATTCATATATCTGAATTCCTACCGGTGATTCTTCAAAGTTGCCTTCCATCATCAGCCAGCAATTATTACAAAGATATTTGGGGAAATTAACAAGAGAAAATGACAATTAAATCCCACCTAAAAGAATTAAATACAATATTTTAAACTCATAAAATTATTCTGAGATCTCAAGAGACTTTTTTACAATAAATTTATTTGTTTAATTATCAAAATTGTTCTTTTTTTTTAAGTTTATATTAATAACTGAAAGAGCAGTTATTGACAACTTAAGGTGTAAAGATTGACCACTATCGTGGTAAGTATTGACAACACATTTTCTCAGGACATTACAAAATGTAATGCATGAGTTATCAATACCTGCCGTTATAGTTGTTAATCGTTGCATCTTAAGTTGTCAATCGTTGCTCTTTCAGTTGTCAATGCAAACTTAAAAAAAAATAAGAGTAATTAAGTAAACAAATAAAATTTATTGTAATAAGATCTTTTGGGACTTCAGAATAATTTTATGATTTTAAGAAACTTTTTGTATTTAATTTTTTTAAGTGAGACCTAATTATAATTTTTCCAAATAACAATGACTAAAAGAATTCATAATTTTGTCTTATTGACGTTGACTAGGTCATAAATTTAAAAGGAAATTAAATTTTGGAAGTTGAAACAGAAGTTCTATGCCATGAAGTTCACTCACAAAACTAATTTTTTAATTATGAACTAATTAATATCAATATTATGTAGTAAAATATTAATTTGGTGATTTCAAATGACAAACTACTAGGTGTCCTCAAATATGGCGCATATGTAAGGGTTTATATGAATAAGGCTTCGCAGAAAGTAATATAAATGGTTCTTGACAAGCAAAATTATCATTTTTTTCAAGTATTCAAGGAGAGGATGTCATTAACAACATTACTCTATGGAGCTCACATCTTGTTTTTACATTAAACCCCCCCCCCCCAAAAAAAAGAAAAAGAAAAAATATATTACTTTCAATGTTTAATATGAGATTTATTAACGCAAACTTTATACTAAGGATTCATTTTCACATATATAAAAAATTTGGATTGCATGAAAGGGTGTTCTTCCTTCATTTCTTTGCGGAAAACTTGAATGGTCAATGCAAGGCAACATATTGAATTATTTGCGTGTGTTTTTTAGTTGAGCTACCCATCATTAGTTCATGTTTTGTTTTTAGCCGAGGGTGTGTAGAAAACGAAAGGATCAATTAAGAAAAAAGCTCTTTATCTCATATAATGCAAAATCACTCAAAATAAATTAATTCAAATATACCAACAAGCTATTAGTTAAAGTTATAAGCAGCCTTATTCTCAAAAAAAAAAAAAAACGCAAGCTCGAATCCAAAAAGCATATTTATTGGAAGAGACAAAAATTGTTTGCGCTCTAAGTCTTTTAAAAGAAGAAACCCTCTATCAAATAAAAAAATAATAATTCAAATAGCAAATGCGATGATGATCGGAATCTCAGAAATTTCTCTTACGAAAAGCAAGCATTCTCAGATACTTTCTAGTCGGTCATTGTCAATCTATGGGAAAACATCAAGCTGATAAGCTTTTCACGGAATTCAACCAAAAGCAGGAAAAAGCTAAAGAGTTTCCATTAATTGCATATAAGCATTGATTTTTAGGGCCGAAAAAGAGGAGCCCATATTAACTTTGACACTTGGAATTTAGTATATTTTGACTGGGTTTTCTGGGTACTAAAGAATTAATAATACAACAAAACAAAAACTATACACAGATAGAAAACAAGGCAGGGATGGAAAAACCCTAGTCAAGACGGCAACAGAGTCCTGGGAAAAGAGAAGGGAAAACGAAACAAATTTAGTATGGCTTTCATGCTTAATATATATACTTATGAATAATCAACTGAAATAGTTATCTTGTCATTATGTCATCCTTCTTAACAGTAAAGTCCCACAGGTCCCCATATTTCTCATTGAAATCCCATATGTCCATGGTATTATAGTCATTGAGCAACTTGTCCCGAGCTCCCCTTTCCATATTGTATATCTCAGGTTCAAAGTGGTGGGGTTTGTCAGGTTTATCCATCTCAATGATGCAAAATATTGCCGTGAATAATCCTGTTGCAATGTATAAGTACTCCCCCTGAATGACACATGATGAATATGATTATTTCTTAGCAAAGTAAATTGCAAAATTGCTTGTTATTCCCAGGTAGAGTAGCCTTTGATTCGGCTGTATAACACTTTATCAAGCGTCTAATTAAATTTAAAATTTAAAATTACCGGAACATGGAAGACAATCCCAGCAACGATGGCTGGAGGGTAAAGCCATGAAATAAGCCCTGCAAAGAAATGGAAAAAAGAGTTCGTAGCCGAATATGTTAGGATTTTCAATCGGAAAAATCTTGTGTGTGGTTTCTTGCTTCTTTGGCGTTTGTTGTTGATGAGTTGTTTAATAAAGTAATGATATACAATTGGACTGTTTTTTGAGGAACTTCACCTAAATATATGTCATATGGAAAATTGTAAACTACTGAAGACGTGGGGGAATCGCACCTTGAAATCCTGTGGGGGGTTCTGCTGCTGCTATCTCTTCAGCAAGTAAACCCCAAAATGTTCCTGAAATGAGCCCATATTAGTTAGCCATCAAAAGTTGCCTTCTTCAGGAATAAGTCTTTCTCGACCCTGAAGAGTAATGGAAGCTGCTTGTTTCCTTAATTCAGGAGCACTTCTCGAATGATGTATTATAATTACGTAATGTTCGTCATTAATATTAACCATGCCATTTTAAACTGTCATTAAAACTGATTTCTGCTGCCTGTAACCCGGAATCAATCAGTTTCTGAGGTCTTCTCAGTGCTTTACTTAACTGTCCCAGCGAATTATTTGCTTTCATCCTTAAGTAATGAGATCTTTCCATGATAATTTTCTAGGAAGTGTTCCTGATTCTTGAAACATCAATCTATCTTTAATTGGTAGTGATGCATTACAGAAGAAAAAACCACGACGGAAGATTCATTAACACTCAGTGAGACCCAGATCAAAGTTCAACTGGGATCTCGAAGTTTGGGCTGAATGCTACAAATCAGTTCAATCTTCATTTACATATGTTCTGTCTTTCTAGAGGATGTTAATATGTATAAATAATTATCAATAGGAGTAAATATTGTTTTGCTCCTTTTTTCTTTCTTCTAAGGAAATTTCCCAGTTCCTTCGACTCAATAGTCTAATTTCTGACTCTAGTCAACAAAAGCCAGTCCCCTCGAATTTTCTTTACATATAACTTGCATAGCATTCATAAGATCAAACTTTTCCATCAAAATATTACGACTAAAATACCCAAACACTTAAAATATCAGATGTCATAATCAACTGTAATAAAGCTAAGTATCCTCCATCAACCACATCTATCAGTACGAAGCATCAGGTCACACGAACATTGTACTAAAGCTCATGAGTGATTTAAAGTGACACAGCTCTCTAATATAGATATGACCTTATGTAAGGCGTTGGTACATCACTTTTCGCAAATTCTTTATAGCATAAAAAAGAAGGGTAAAAACATTGAACCACAGGAATATTCAGTAGATTAGCCAACAATAAAGTACACATTACACAATAAACTCTTATACCTTTTTTCTCTCCTTCGAAATAAGTATGGTGCCCATCATACTCTCCGTACTTGAAATCTTCCTGAAGCATATCCACAATAAAAATCAAAATCAAATCCAAACGCCATAATCCCCAAATCTAATTTATCACTCACAGTGTGCCATTCCGAATCCATAGAGAAAACTTATGAATTATAACATACAGGGCTTATGCTATTAGTTTCCCAACGATCTGGGGGATCTTCACTGATATCGGGTTCAATCTCGGCGAAACCCGCAGCATTCAACCTCGTCGACGAGGGGCTGCTTCGAGCTCTCAAAACTTGTTGCAATTTGAATGGTGCAGGAGCTGATGCAAATTTAGGGTTGATGGGAATTGAATTTGCAGAGAGAACTGAGAGTGAAGAACGAAGCGCCATGCTTGTGTTTGTTCATCTGTTATCCGTTATGATGGGCTTTAAATTGCTCGCGCTTCGCTTATTATTCGTATTACCACTTGGATTGGATATACAAATGCGGACACGTGGCACCTCATGCTTCATCTCCGTACTTTATTTTGCAGAATATATGAGGGAGTGTTTAAGTAAAAATTAAACCATAGTAATTTTACAATATACAAAATAAATATGTGAGAAAAGTTTTATTTTAACGTATACAAAAATACTTTAAAAAAAATACTTTTAAGAAAGCCAAACACCCTTTAAAAACAAATTAAATATTAAAAAATGTACAACAATGACCGGAGACTTTGTTTGGAACAAAAATAATACTATTATTTATTAAATTTTAATTTTATTTTTGTGAAAAAATTATAGAAAATGTCATTTTAGATAAGTTTAATCTGGCAAGACATCATAGCATGACTTGTAAATATATTAACATATACAAGAATTTAGTAAGTAATTAAATTCTTAATGTTAAACTTCTTTACACTCTTCTCTTTTTATAAAGGAAATAAAATATAACTAATAACTTTAATGTATACAACATGGATCCTTATCATTTCTAAACTTGGAATAAGATATATTATTGTTGAGAAAAATGCCGCTTCTCACAATTAGATTTATTAATTAATATTATTGACGAATGTTAAAATTTATTACTATTAGTTATTAAAACTTATTTTTATATATAAAATAAAATAAAAATAATAAATTTTCAATGACCAATTAATAACAAATGATGATTTAAATAAAAAATATTTCCAAAAACAGAAAAACAAAAAAATCTAATGTAAATAATCTAACTAAAATTAAAAAAATTAAAGTACACATGGATCCCTACATCCAAAAAAGATTCCCTCCTTTTTTGTTGACTCAGCTTGACTCATGTCTAGGTTCTGTAGTGTATTTATGTGAGTTCTCTTTGTCTCTCACTCTCTTCCTCGCTTGCTTAGATCATATGCTCATTTTCCTGCAACTTATCATTGTATTGATTGCAGAGAGATTTGGGGGGGGGGTTTTAGGCAATGCCAAACAGCCTCAGATTTATCTTCACTAAAAGCCCTAAAATGAGCTCAGGTCAACCCAACTAAGTTTCTCAATTTTGTAAAGCTGACTGGTGAAGAGAAAATTTAAGAAAGTAGGCATAGGCATATTATACTTATACTGAAGCTTTTATAATTGGCGTCAGTAAGTATATCTTCTCAAACTTTTTTTGAATTGAAGTTATAGTGATTCCTTGGTTTTCCCCTAAAAAATTTCAGGAACATAGATTGAATGAGGGAAATTTCATAAATTTAGTTTCAAATCAGAATTTAAAACTTGGCTGTGGAATAAGATAATAGAGTTGTTAACGATGCAGCTTCAATTTGATGTTTAACTCATGGTTTGTTCAGGGAGATTCCACAGTAGATGCGGAAGAGATTGAGGGATTTGGTATTTATTTCTCTTTCTCTGTATTTTATGTTTATGTTTTCTCATTCTATTTATGCTTTATCACACTATATTAAAGAAAACATTTTTTAACCTTTACTCTACTAAAGCATGAAGTATGGAGCATGTCATAAATCCATATATGCAACAAAATTTACTTATGAGAAAGTAGTGTAATAGTGGTATTAGAGATTGAATTTATGGAGCTAGAAGGTTCTAGCATGTTCAATTACTTTAGACGCTAAAATTTTTTCTTTGTTCATGGTTAATATGTTTTTGGTCGCGTAACTTGCAATAGAAGCTTCTTAGCTGTTTTAGCCTGAACAATTCAGAACTTGGTCCACACAAGGATATGCAGCTAGTGATGGATATAGTGACCGAGGAAGAATATACTTATAAATCTAACTTACTTCAATAATTCATACATATATCCAACATTGACAAGGTATCGATTTTTAAGTCTGATGCTGTAAGCATTTTTTATCATCTATTTTTTTCCTCCCTTCGCCCTCTTTTGTATCAATCATGATAGTTTGATTGGTGATGATGTTTCTATAGTTATTTTTTCCCATAGAATTGAGCTCTCAAGGGATGTTTTGTATTAGCCAGCCACATCTTGTGGAAAATAAGAGAAGAAAGTTCATTCTATCCTCTACCATGTTCAAGGAAAGCAAAGTTCTGTAAATTTTCAATGGGCTCCCTTTCCCACAAAGATGTCTGGGGTTTCTATAATTGTTTCATCTCCTTCTAGGTCAAAACTTCTAGTGGTTCGAAATCCTGAGAATGAAGGACCTTCTCACTTTGAAATTTGGAGTTCATCTCACATGGAGAAGGAGTTTCATATCTCCTAATTGGTGCATGGTTTAGTTTATACTAATGGATGGTATGTTGTGATATGTGACTATTTTTCCTATTGTTATTCTCTTACGCTATTCACTGTTAAACTAGTAGTCTATTTAATAAATCAACATTAAATGTTTGATTTGAAACGTTTAGTTTTAAAGTCATAAAGGTAAACAGTAGCTTTTGTAGCAATTTTACAAACAGGTGTTGTAACACTTGAGCATAGAAGATAATTTTTCTATGGCATAGGTTTGAGGGAATCTATTGGAATCTAGGTGAAACTTATATAGCATATATAGCTGAAGAGCTCTCTCTTGTAAAGTTGACATTTCATGATATTGTCTACAAGAAAGGAGGGCTTTCAGACGACGACTATAGTAGCTGGAAAGGTCAAGGGGATTGGGAAGATGGCTGGGGAGAAACTTATGCTGGAAAGCGGCAACCTACACTTTTTGTTATCAATGTCAACGCGTTTCATCTCTCATATGAATACCAAAATAATATGGATAATTTCTATGAAACTCTCAATTTAATTAGTGTTTTTACAGCAGAGAGGTATAGGCAGGCAAAGGACTTGACAAATCTATGAGTTATGGCCAAGTTGCGTGGGTTCCTTCTACTCAAGGCTCATAGCAATATCTGGTTTTTGTTGGATGGCCCACTATAACAATAAAACTTGGTATGAAGTATTGTTCTAACAGGGCTTTTGCATTATATGCTGTTAAAGCTCCATATCATGAGTCAAAAACCTTTGAAACAGAGCCCTGTAAGTTACTTTTCATGAGATCTTGATCCCCTTGTTTAAATACATAATAGGAAGTGAATATTTATTGTTAATTTGTTTATTTCCTTGCTAAATCATGAAAGTAATGCTGTATACATAGGAACAGTGGGGAGATGCATGCTCTTAACCTAACTCAAAGCATAAGCAGTGCCCCCTTTCCACACTTCAGTAAGCTGGTGGAGTCAAATACTTATCTTTAGCATTTGTTGCCTAATACAAACTAGGTTTAATCTGTGCATTTGTTATTTATTCTCCATTTGTGTTTTTCTCTCTCTTATAGATGACAAAAGATGTGTTTTCTTTGAAAATAGAACATTTTTCAGAACTTTTCAGCTTTTTATGTGCAACTATAATGTAAGATAATGGCATGGCAATTGAAAAGATAGCCAATGTTACAGATCTTTTACTGGATTGATGTAGTTATGATTGCATAAAGAAAGTCAAACCAACAGCCAGTGATAAGTTCTAGGCGTTAAATTGTAGGGTGTAGTAGATGAGATACTATTAACTAAGTATTTTTAGTTTTATTTAAAAAAAAGTCCTTTAGTTTTGAATTCTTGGCAGTAACATTGATTTCCTACTATCTACAAAGAAAAAAAAAAGGAAGGAAGACTAAAGACTTACTAATATCTATTGATCAAGTTTAGGTTGACTTATGTTTACTATGAAATACAGGTCTCCCTCCTTATTTCTTGACTTAGATAAATTCTGAAAATGCTAAGCCTTTTGGCGGGTTTATTCACTTATGCTCCTTTGCCCTGCTTTTACAAAACTAAACTCAATGCTTTCTTAAGAAGGATGCTGATCTAATGCTAGTCATGAATCATTATTATTGTTTCAGTTCTTCTATGTGTCAACACTGAAGTAGGGTCCAAGAAATCACATTATTAGTGATTCAAGTAAATGGATATTCTTTTTCACTTATGCCCTTAACACAACAATTATGGACAGTTAGCCACATCCCTCCAGGATGTGTATAAGTGTTCTTGCACTATACTCATTCCTTCCATAAATATTAATATGGCTACTTGGATCTTTATTATTCTTTAAGAATTTTAAAAGTTTGCCTTCTCTACTTTAAAATTATATTTTTATTGCCTTGTATTTTTGCATCGTGCTGTAAGATACTACACTAATTGTTAAAAGTTAAAACAATATTAGGATATCAACTGTATTTCTATAACCCTAATTGGTGTTCTTGAATTTCTACCAGCACAGATGGAAAGTTTCTTGTGTTTTTATCTAGAAGTTGTTCTGTAGATTCCGGAGTCCATCTTGCAACAAATTCACTTCGTAGAATTGATTGGCCAACTGATGGGGAAATACACCAATTTCTAAAAAAAATTTTATATTATAAGTTCTTCCTATGTTAAGTAGAGAAGGCAAACTTTCAAAATTCTAAAAGAATAATAAACATACAACCAGCCATATCAATATTTATGGAAGGAATAAGTATAGTACAAGAACACTTATACACATCCTGGAAGGATGTGGCTAACTGTCCATAATTATCGTGTTGAGAGCATAAGCCAAAAAGAATATCCATTTACTTGAATCATTGATAATGTGATTTCTTGGCAAAGTCAACTGCTGATGTCATAATCCTACTTCAGTGTTGACACATAGAAGAACTAATTGCCTTGTATTTTTGCATCGTGCTGCAAGATGCTACACTAATTGTTAAAAGTTAAAACAATATTAGTATATCAACTACATTTCCATAACTTTGATTGGTGTTCTTGAATTTCTACCAACCCAGATGGAAATTCCTTGTGTTTTTATCTGCAAGTTGTTCCGTAGATTCTGGAGTCCATCTTGCAACAAATTTACTTCATAGAATTGATTGGCCAACTAATAGGGAAATATACCAATTTCTAAAATTTTTTGATATTGTAAGTTCTTCATATATTACCTTTTAAATTAGAATGTGATTAGTTTGATTGCTTGGTGCTTTATCATGTCTTATGGCATTTGAAACTTCATTTTGTTTATATAACTTATGTATACAAGCTTCTTGGCTATCACATCCTTTCAAGATATCCTTAAAAATATCTCAACATAGAATATTTGTATGTTGCAAAAACATCCAAGATAGGTATGACTTAACATACTCTTAGTTCTTAATTTAAATGCATACTCATTTCCTTATACGGTTTCTCATCTGTGGGGGTTTGGGACTTTGGTCTACTGGAAAATATGTTTTTCCTACATAATGTTTACTTTAATGAGAGAAAGGAATGCAAGCATCAGGACAAAAGTATTAATTATCTTGTCAGATGAATATGATTACTCCATAAATTTGTGGTAAGTATTATATTCAATAAACTTATTTGTTTTCTTGCCTGGTTGTTTCTTTCAAACCCTTTTTTTTGTGGTCAATGGTATTAGTTGCAAATTACCTAGTGTTCAATTTGTCATATTGTTCATTCTGGTCTTAGGATCTCTGTCTATAAGCAAAAATTTGAAGGTGGCCTTTTAATATACTTACAAGATGATCAGCTCTTCAGGTCATGTGTGGTTTGCTTACATTTTCTCTTATTTGATATAGGATATATTCTAGATTTAACAGGAAACTTATGAAACAATTTTAATCTGTGTAGTTCCTTGGCAATAGTTATTATAATTACTTATACTAACTTTTTAAAATTGACTTTGAATATTCTAATTGTGATGTGTGCTGAGGATGGTTGCTTTTAAGGGCTCTACTGTACAACTATCCATAGTAACTGATCCAGGAGGATCTTTACTACACCAAGTCATGTGAATAGCAACTGCATGCACGTGAACAGTAACTGTGCAACGTGGGTTTAATATTTGAATGCTGAATGTTGGTGGGAGCAAGTCTGGTGGAAATTTCTTAGAGTTGGCCACAAGTTTTGAAAATAAAAACTGTTATTTATTTTATTTGTAATTATCTATTTTTCCATATATAAAGGAAAGCCATGTATGCAAAAGGGCAATCAGAAATAAAGAGAAACTAGTGATGCCTTCGTGATTGGGTTTGGGGAAGCTCATATCAGTTTCCTTTCTTTTTCATATCTTTGGATCAAGTTAGGTATCAGAGCACCGTTCCTGACTGTGGATGGTGAAGACCCCTTTTGGTTATAGCGTTAACAAAGAAGATTTGTGACAACTCTCGACTTTTCGAGGGGTACACCATTCAACCCTTACTGCACCAGAAACATCCGTAGCCATGGAAGGTGATAAACACACCCTTCAATCCACCTTGACAGACCAAGTTGCTAAGCTCTCCTTGGACATGGCCACGGTCCTAGACTGGATCAAATAGCAAGCTACCACTTCTCATGATGACCAAGAGAAGATGGCCACCCTGAAGTCAAAGGTGGCAAAGCTAAAAGCCAAGTTCGAACACATCGCTATGATGGGGATGACGATGAAGAATCCATAGAAGCTAATGATGATGCAGAAAGCGATAGGGAGCCTTTCAAGGTGGAAGCCAAGATCGATATACCAACCTTTGATGGGTCGATTGATGTCGACAAGCTAGACCCTTGGATCAATAAGCTTGAGACGTACTTCACTATATGGGGATACCATGACGACCAAAGAGTCATGTTTGCACCACTTAAGATGACTAACCACGCAAAAATGTGGTGGAAGGCCCATGTTGCAAGCGGTGAAGCTGAGGGTCTAACGTGGAGTAAGTTCAAACAACTACTTTGATAGGAGTTCTACTCGATAGGGTACATTCAAGAAAGGTGGGATCGGTGGCATCAGCTACAACAAGGACGTGACCAATCTATTCAAGATTATACCACCGAGTTTTGATGACAAGCAATGGCTCTCAGCATCTCACTAACGAACTCGCAGATGTACCTAAAATATATGGCGGGACTACATTGTACCATTAATGCAGAGCTGAAATTATTCCAGGTTCGTGATATTACGAGTGCATGTATGATGGCCATGGCAATAGAACAGAAAAATAAGCCTCGAAGTGAGAAGAGTACCGGAGACAGTAGGCCAAAACCAAAGTACCAGAAAAATTCTGGTAAAGTTAAATCCTCAACCCCCTCTATATCCTCTGACAAGTTTTGTAAGCATTGCAAGGTCACAGGACATGATAAAGTGAAGTGTTGGAAACTTCATCCGGAGCCTTTTCCTAAAAAGTGAAAGAAGGATAACCATCGTCGGAGTGTCGTGGCAACTACGTCAAACTCTCTGAAAGACGAACCCGAGCAGTTGAGCTTAGTTTACCAAGCGAACCCAACCCTATCTTTGATGGCAATACCGAAGGAGATAGGTTCGAGTCCAACGGGTGCTTAAAATTCAGCAGAAGAATTATTCACTATTAATATTCAGGTGAAGAAGGAAGTTATATCTGCAATATTTGATCCCAGTAGTCAGAAAAATCTCATCTCAACGAAGCTTGTTCAGAGACTCGGCTTGACGACAACCCCACACCCTCGATCTTACCCGCTAGGGTGGATCACCAATGCTGTGAACTGACAAATTAACTCAGTGCACAATACGTTTTGCAATATTGTCCAGCTATATTGATGAGGTATAATGTGATGTATACCACTTGATATTTGCCAAATAATTTTTGGCAACCCCTTCCTCTATGATCGTGATGCTCATTACCACCATAGGGCACAAGAATATGAATTAACTAAGGGTGGCAAGAAATTCATCCTTAATAGTGAGAAACCCGTGCAGACGATCGATTTGGTCACAGAGAGCTAAGCAAAACGTGTCGTTAACACCTCCCAAAAATATGTGTTAGTAATGATTCGGCCGGTATGTTTAGATGTTTATTGTTTGCCTATTCTAATCTTGTTATGTAGGGAAAATAATAAAGAACTGATGAATCTGTTGGAGGAATATACCAGCCTCTTTAAAGAGAGCCGTGACCTACCACCAAGGCGACCAGCGGAGCATGAAATCCATCTTGTCTCAGATTTGCCACTACCTAACCTTGGTTTGTACCAAAATTTAGTACTAGAGAATGAAGAGATCAAATGACAAATCAATGAACTACTTGAGCATAGTGTTATTAAGCCAAGTAGTTCCCTATGTGGGTCCCCATTTGTTCTTGTTCCTAAGAAAGATGGAGCTTGGCATATGTGTATTGATCACCATGCACTAAATAAGATTATCATGAAGAAGTGCTACCCTCTTCCTCACATAGATGACCTGTTAGATCAATTGCACCATGCAATCGTCTTCACTAAATTGGATTTGAAATTTGGTTATCACCAAATTCGTTTACATGAGGAAGATACTTGGAAGACGGCATTCAAAACACGTTAAGGGCTGTCCGAATGGCTAGTGATGCCTTTTGGACTTTGCAACACCCCGACCACTTTTATACGACTTATGAATGATGTCTTACAGCCTTTTATTGATGATTTTGTAATTGTTTATCTTGATCTATAGGAGGTTATGGGAAGAGCATTTAGTGCATATACAGAAGGTGTTTGAGACATTGCAGCAACACCAACTTTGTTTAAACCAAAAGAAGTGTGAGTTCGGTAAGAGAACCTTGTTGTACCTAGGTTACATTGTTGGTGGTGGTGAGTTACAAATTGACCTTGATAAAGTCAAAGTCATCACAGAATGGCCAAGACCAACATCTGTCTCGAAGGTTCGAAGTTTCTTGGGTGCTTGCCAATACCTTCATAAGTTCATCCGTCATTTTTCTGTTTTGGCTTCTCTATTACATGCACTAAAGAAGGTTAACCAGAAGTTTGAATAGACCTCAAAACATGAGGACACGTTTCTCATATTGAAGAGGAAGATTTGCAAGGCACTTGTTTTAGCCTTGCCTAATTTGCAGAGGTCATTTAAACTGGAGACAGATGCTTCAGGGTACGTTATAGGTGCTATCTTACTACAAGAAGGCCGTCCTATAACGTATCATTCAGAGTTGTTTTAAGGATCCCAAAAGAATTACCCAACATATGACAAAGAACTTCTTGCCTTGCATTAAGCTGTGAAGCATTAGCGAGTTTACCTCATAGGCAAGGAGACCATTGTGCACACAGATCACTGCCCTCTCCAATACTTGCAGGTTCAATCTAAGTTACAACAAGCATGTCATATGAAGTGGATGACTTACTTGCGGCAATTTAACTTGATAATCAAATACAAGAAGGGGGTTCATAATAAACTTGCTGATATGCTATCTCGTCCTTTGATAGCTTCTATCTGCCAGTCCACTTTTATGCAGATTGAACGCTCTTTACATGGAGAATATGCAAGTTGGTACACCGATGATCCTTATTTTCAAGAAGTACTAGCCAATCTTGCAATTGGGAAGCCATCTGAGTTCCTGTTATAGAGTGGACTTCTTTACAAAGGAACACTTCTATATGTCCCAAGGGAAGCTGAACGAGTACGCTAGATATGTGAGGCACATGCTTCTAAAGTGTCAGGACATTTTAGAGTGGCAAAAACATTGCAAAACCTTTGACGTTAGGTTTTTTGGCCATAAATGCAATATGATGTAGCCTGTTTTGTGAATGGTTGTGTTCTATGCAGTACCTCCAAGCCTGCAAATTGAAAGTTGGGTTTGTATACTCCTTTACCCGTTCCTTCTCGTCCTTGGGAAAGCATAGCTATGGATTTTCTTGGTGGACTCCCAAAGACATGTCATGGTAATGATTACTCGTTTGTGGTAGTTGATCAGTTTCTAAAAATGGTGATACTCATGCCATGCAGAAAGATGATCACAGGAGAAGAAGCAGCACGAACTTTCTTCCAATATGTTTGGGTGTATTTTGGACTACCTAGTTCTATCATATCTGATCGTGATAGCCGATTCCTTAGTCACTTTTGGCAATCTTTATGGATGATGATAGATATGAGGCTTAAACAAAGTATCGCTTTCCATCCGCAAACAGACAACCAAACCGAAGTAGTCAATCGTACGGTTGTCCATTTGTTAAGGGGCTACAACTCACGGCACCCAAGAACATGGGATGAGAGTATCCCATATCTGTAGTTTGCCTTCAATCAAGCCATACATGGTTCCACAGAGAAGTCTCCTTTCGAAGTATGTTTGGGTTTCCAACCACAAAGCCCGTTTAACTTGGAGTTTAATATTCAACCATCGGTCTAAGGCACTAAGAAGGAGAAAGTTTAGGAGAAGGCACAATGATTCTTGGAAGGGATTCAACGACTACATAAGGAGGTGGCAAATAACTTGCAGAAAGCTCAATAAAAATATAAGATTCGAAATGATCGGCACCAAGTTAAAGCCGACTTCCAAGAAGGGGACTTAGTTTGGCTTCATCTATGCAAAGATCGTCTCAAAAGCGAAGGAAAAAACCTCAAACCCATTTGTTATGGACCATTCAAAGTGTTGCAGAAGATTGGAGATAATGCTTGTAGACTTGAACTTCCTCTATATATGGATATATATTCGATGGTTAACGTAGAGTATCTTAAACTCTTTGAGCCCTCTATGATGGACGAAGAGCTTGGAGAAACTCTACCTTTTATGGAAGATTTAGTGTATCAGAGGGAGACCCCTTTAAGTGAAGATGTCATCTTGGAGAGGAAGACAACTACAACGTGACGTGGAACAAGAGAATCATTTCGAGTAGGACAGAAGGGTAAATGGCCAAGTGTTGTAAAATGGTACACACATAAAGTTGGTCAAACCCAATTTTCACACCTCCAATTCTAATATGAGAACCCACAAGTGTGGTTCCTTGTTGAAAGGGGACCCTTGATCCAGGAGGATCTTTACTACACCAAGTCACGTGAATAGTAACTACTACACGTGAACAGTAACTGTGCAATGTGGGTTTAATATTTAAATGCTAAATGTTGGTGGGAGCGAGTCTAGTGGAAATTTCTTAGAGTTAGCCGCAAGTTTTGAAACTAAAAGCTGTTATTTATTTAGTTATTATTTTATTTGCAATTATCTATTTTTCCATATATAAAGGAAAGCCATATATGCAAAGGGGCAATCAGAAATAAAGAGAAACCAGTGACGCCTTTGTGACTGGGTTTGGGGAAGCTCATATCAGTTTCCTTTCTTTTTTCATATCTTTGGATCAATAACCCATGGCTTTCTGACAGGTACACTATGATCCTATCATCCATCTAGCACAACAGTCAAGTTTTACTTTCAGTGAATGTGCTGAGGTAGCTATAACAGTGGGAATACATCTTTATTACATTTATGTAAGGTTTGTTTGCTTATACTTTCATCATTTTACAGTGGCACAATATCATGTATATCTCCAGCAGACTCAAATTTCTCATGGAATCTTCTTATGCTAGATGAGAACAATATAGCTACTGGTAATAACTATTCTAAGTTTCTTAATATGTCCAACTAAAGAGGAGAAACACCTAGTATCCTTTTAATTTGTTTTATTTTTTGTAGTTTCCAGTAGTCCAGTAGATGTTCCTGAAATCAAGTATGGAATGTTCATTGAGAAGGCAGCTGAAAGTAATGCATGGAGGTGGTCATCAATATCAAGTCCCATATTCAGATGCTCAGACAAGGATTCTTATATTTGCTTTTGGAATACCATTATGGATCATCTTCAGAAACAAAAACTATCATTAATGTTTAGAAATGAATTATTCGAGTTTGGATTTAGGTTATATCATTTCTGTCATCTCTCTAGTTCAGTATAGTAAAGATCCCAGTCAAGGATGCTGTTGATAGCTTGGCAAAAGGTATTTAATTCACTTTGGATTCTTACACTTGATATTTAATCGAAGAGTGATGAGCTTTTGAGATTTTTTATTTCTCTTAATTAATGTGATTAGCTTCTCAAAAATGGATGGAATAATTAACTGTTGACATTATATAAATTAAGGATATGGCAAGTTATTCTATGTACACATTTTTTTGTGTTTGCATGAGGATACGAAGCCATCCATAATAAGGCTAAGTCATTTTATGATACCATTTGATTTAAATTAGCTATGCCTTGAGGAATGGTTTTTAGTTTTTTTTTCCCTTTTGGTTTAATTTATCAAATGGGCCTACGTACAATAACAATTGCAAGAGAATACAGTATCATAAAATGACTTAATTGTGACACCATGATTGAAAGCTTGTGCTGAGTTAAATTGATCGACATTGTCTATTTTCTTGAAGCATTTTCTACTAACTTTGGCACCTGTGAACTTCTGTAACAAGTTTAATATTTATTTTATTGTTTTGATTACTTACGTGGAGTTCACTCTAATTTTAGTCTAAGTATTTGATTTTCATATTTGGCTAATTTCATGTCAATTTCAATTCCAGGAGCTAGTCAACCTCATGAAGCCATCCTTGTGTCATCTAAAACCAAGAAAAATGATGCATGTGATCCATTAATTGTGATCCTTCATGGAGGGCCACATGATGTCTTCTTGTCTTCAAAATCTTTAGCTTTTCTATCTTCAGTTGGATTCAGCTTACTGATTGTAAATTACAGGTAAGCTCTGAATGTCCTTGAATTTCAAGTATTAGTGAATGCCAGGAATGTTTAATGTGATCTTTCACTATCATGTTAGTTGCAGTGGAACTTTATGACCAAGACAGTTGGATTCAACGATAAGCCTCAATAGGACTTTAATTGTATAAAATATCAGTTGGCTCAATTCTTGAAAATTTATCACATGTTGCTGCTTATCAGTTAAGATCACAGCAAAAGGCTTTATGTTTCCTCTTTAGTAGAACAAAGAAATTTTAGCTTGTATCCATGTTAGCCTTTCAAAAGTTCACGCCCTTTGGGAGACATCTCAAAATCAGATTCCATGACACAATATGTGTTTGTAAAATATGATGAAAAATAAAACTTCCTTACCTTTCTCCTTTTATTGAATGTTTCATGTTTGGAATTTTCATGTGGAAGAACAGCTGCCTTTTTCCTTTGCACAGTTCTTGTCATGCTTAAAAACTTGATCTGCTTGATGAACTTTTCTTTGCAATATCATCTCTTCATCTAACTTTTAAATATATTGTTCATAAGTTTGTGAATCATATTTTCTTACAATTGAATATTAGTCCATGCCTTCAAGAAAAAACGAATATGCTCACTATCAATGATGTTCTCTTTGCCATAGATCATGTCATCAACTTGGGTCTTGCTAGTCCATCTAAGATTATGGTCATTGGTATTTCCCAGGGTGGCTTTCTGACAACTCATTTGATTGGCCAGGTGCAATAAATCTGCATACTGTGATAACTGACGCTTCAATACTTTTGTATAACTATTTTTCCATGGCAATTAAGATTAGTGTGTGAGGCTTTCATTTCTGTCATTTGCCTTTTCACCAGTATTGATATTGTTGTGGTTATGGTTTATAGTAATATGCTTCTAGTGGTTTTGAAGCCAAAAGCTAGTGAGATCTGCAATTGGGTTGGCTATAGCAAGTTTGTTGATCTATAAAGTTGCAGAAACATTAGCAACAAGTAGTTGTTTTCTTTTCATGTTTTGAAAACCCCATGTTGATCTATAAAGTTGCAGAAACATTAGCAACAATTAAAAGGGCTTGTGTAGTGAGGTCACCTTATACTTCGCACCGATCATGGTTCAGTATCTTTAGGTGTTACAAGCATGAAATATCCTACTACATACAGTGGATTTCTGGCATCTAAACTTCTTTTCTGAACATTTCTGCAGGTGAAGGCCCCGACACTTTCCCTACTGGGGGCTTAAGATCTCCGCGTTCCAATTCCTGATGGATTGCAAGTAAGTTACACAAGAGCTTCAACACTAATTGGCTCTCTTGATTTTTGTGTAACCGCAATGCTTGGCTTAACTAAACATCAGAATTACTAAATGTTCCTTTTGAGTTCCAAAAATAAATTGGGATTTAATGTTTTCATTTTAATCCAAGACATTTAATGCCAAATTTTTGATTTTGATTATGCCTCAATCTAAAGAGTTATTATGTACTTTTCATTATGTAAGGAGGACAGTGAATGATTTTCTACTGACATTTTAAACTCATCCCAATCTTCCATCCTAATATATTTCAAGTTTTCAAAAAAAAAATTCTGAAAATCGAAAGAAAAACTACCAGTTGATCATTTTGATTTTTCTCTAGTATTTCTTATTCTATTTTTGCTTAACCCTTATGGCATCGTTGATAGAATGACATTCCCTTTCCACCATCTCTGTGCAATGTTTACCATATGGTCTTAACTTTTATTTATTTTCATTTAAATGTGGGAACACTAATCTTTTTTCATGCTCTTTCTTTCTTTCTTTTTTCTTGTTTGGCAGTATGCTCGAGCTTTGAAGGAGAAGGGAGTTGAAGTTAAAATCATTATGTTTCCTAATGATGTTCATGCGCTTCAAAGGTAGATAAATCCAACATAAACCTTATCTATTAGTTATATATTTATTTATTGGGGAAATATCGTTTGGTAATAGTTCTATTGGTACAACTAATAATCAAAATATGGAAACTATATCTGATGTTTTAGCTTCTTTGTACACCACAATCTGAGTTCGAATCCTTCCTTAGCATTGGGGTGTGGTTCAAGAAGTTCTGCAAACGAAAATGAAAAGGTATTGAGTATATCCAGGTATTGCACAGGCGACTGAGAAAATCAAACACTATCAGAGGTGTGGAATCAAACTTATAAATAGATGAATTTGTTATCATAAAATTGAAGGAACATGTTCACGGTCACAAATAATCCAAGACCTTGAATCAATACAGGCTCCACACGGATTCCAGATCTAATAAATTTTTTTTTCTATTGCATTTTCCCTGCAGTTCTAAACGGTTCATAAAATCTGAATCTATTTTGTTTCTAAAATTTATAATTTTCTTTCAAAATATCGCTATTTTGTAAAGGGTTCTGGTCAATGAGTAATTTCAATACACATTATTAAACAAAAGTAGTTTAGAGAAGCTGATGCATATTTGTTAAAAATAACTAACTAAAGACTAGAGGTAGTATTAAATTTTGATGATATAGGTTAACTTATACTTTTAAAATTTATCAAATTTAATCATACGCCTAGTCGGAATTTTTTATGGTTGAGACTAACACAGTATCTGATTGTTTTCGAGCCCCTAATTTTTCTCCGATCTTGATTAATAAAAACATCCTTGGTTAATACTTTCCCAATTGTTTGTCCTTTATAAATTCAAGAATTTTATCTTTGACTATGGAATACGAATGACTTACTAAAGTTATCATGTTGATGCTGATTATAAGACACTCTCTCTTACGCTATAGAAATATCTCGCTTGCTGATTTGACTTGATCTTTTTCTTTTGTAC